AGCTGTAAAACAACTTGCAACAAGAGACAAAACTCGAAGAAATTTTAGGGGTTAATTAATTAAAAAATTTAGTAGGACTAAATTAATAATAACCCATTATATTTTGATGATTCTGAAAATTTTTAAAAATTCTATCCCTCTATAGATTTTGGGTGCAATAACAGTAAGGGCTCTTTGAATTGATGGAATGGCCCTATACTTAGTGACACCTGACATATTGAATGTCATCAATGAAATAATATTGGTCAGTGGTTTTTAAAAGATGTATATTTTTTTATTGATATTATTGATATTTAAATAATATTAATGTTGAAATTAATTATTAAAAAAATAATAAATAAAAAATACTTATTTTTCTGTTCATAAAAGAACACTGAATTTCTTTATTACCATATCTCTTTCGAATTTGGATGGCATAGAAGACTTTTATTCCAATGTATAAAAAATAAAAAAATAAAAAAATAAAAAAAAGAAAAAGAAAAAGAAGGAAGAAGCATAGAAGACTTTTCAGTGTTTCCGCAGAGCTTTTTTGGGTCTGAAATTCCATTGCAACAAATATTAGTTTAGGAATGCAACTTGTCTCTATACTTAATGTAGGCTTAATCTCCTATTTTACCATCTACTTTATGGATTTTAAGATTATTGGTTTTAACTAACTTGATTTGAGTGGAAGAAATTTAATTTTTTTTAAATAAAATTTTAAATTTAAATATTGTAAATGAAGAAATAAGTACTTAAAAAATTTCTCCCTAATAGAAACTAATGCGATTCGATTCCAAATTAATTGAAATTTAATGTGATTACTAAATACTCAGAGATTAATAAAAAAAATTATTGGTTTCATCTTAAAACTTAAAAGTATTAATTTCTCAATAATATAAATTTTTTAAAAAAAATTCTTTTTATGTACAAATTTGAAGTGCATATACTTAATTAGATAATTGTAATTCATGTTGAAACACTTGTTAATTATCTTCTGGGTAACTTAAGCAGAGAAGCTCTCTCTTGAACCAGGACAATCATGCTTTATCTAATTAAAGAAAAAGTTAGACTAAGGAAAAGTTAAAAGTTTGTTGAAATAATGCTTTGTTTCTTGGTCTCCCACCACATTGGATGTTAATGATGTTTCCCCGCACTAACAAATGTTGAGCCTATCCCCTTTTTTCTTCCTTGGACGTGTAGAATACATCTTGAAGTCACATAAAATGTTATTTTAAAAATTTTAATGATATCTTGAGCACTCTTTTTTATTTTTTTAACAGCTGCACTCACTTTATTTTATATATTACATTCCTAATGTTTATAATGCCTCATATAAATATAAATAGGTAATTAAAATATATTTTTACATATTTATTTAACCTGTAGATTGTAATG